CCAAGGATAATGCAAGCCAAAACTTGGTAATTATTATATAAATTTACTCCAATGATTATGTCGACTCACGAATCAACGATGGTAATTTCGGGAATCCACACCTCTGAAGCAGCTACATACATAAACTCTATTCCGCAATGATCTTTGGGATCCCATTCGAGGCGCTCATCTCTCCAGTTCTCAAAACAAATATTATTTAATTCCAGTAAGTAGTTCAAACTTGTAATTTTTCTTCGCAAAATTTTCTGCACTTTCGAGAAACAGAAAATTAATTTAAGTATGCGATTCTCTTATAAATCTTTCTATCAAATTTTCAAGATGTTGACTCAAGTTGTAGGCATTTTTGAGCCAATTTCGGCTATACCCTAACACCTTTTCTACCAAACAAAAAAAATCCTGCTTAACACTGAGTGATTTGCGAACTCTCATATTCTCGCAAATTAAACCAAAAGAAGACGTAAAAATACCTTGATTCATCCCTATAATGAGAGATTCTGCCTTTTCCGTTCTCTCTCCCTTCTCTCCACAAAAGTGAAACAACACATTAGAAATTATTATCTGCATTCATCCTATTGGTCAGTTGTTGCAAGGTCTTACTGTAGTTGACCATTATGCCACTCCTATCAGATGACAATTCATTGATTTTAATGATTTAAAGTCATAACAAATTCGTTGCTTCAATCAAGAAAAGCTTTGATTAAATGCTCTTGCAAAAAAACAAAGAGTGCATTGTTCTACATTTGTTTGTGAGTTATTTATAAATCTTATCATGTAAAACAATTTGCGAACATTTTGATCTATCGAGTATAGTTGAAAAGAAGGTATTCAAACCCACCACAGCGTACTCAAAAAGGAACTCTGCCTTTTGTTCTGGCTCAACCTGAAACCCTTCCAATTAGAATTATTTCGCTATTTCTAAATCCTTATTAATTGACTTACTATCTGGACGAGTTTCATATAAACAAGATTAAGTGAAACGTCGAAAACTGTCAAGTTTGCAGCCGTGTTTATTGTTGAGTTTATTTCTGAAAGTTTTGCATCAAAAAATTTTAAGAAAACTTTTTTCTACCTAACCTTGCATTGCGACAGCCGGAAGTTTGGCACTATAGTTTGAGAACAAGGCATTGTACAATGAGAACGTTTCTTTGAGATAGGTTTTACGATCTGAAAATTTTTTTGAGTTTAGCTGCTTTTTCCTTGAGTTCGAATTTTGGTCCAAGGAATTTGCCAGAAAATCATCGTCAGTTTTTTTTTTCCTTTAAGAGCCCCTTGCGAATGGAAAATTAAAGGCTTTTTGAGATTATTCGTAAACTTTTGCAATAGCCGCTTTCTTAAGCTTGGAACGCTGCAATTCTTACTGTATTCTCAAATTGTTAATAATAATTGCTTACCAACAATATTGCATTCCGCAGACACAGCATGTACGTAGATTATTAAGCATATGGTGCCTATAATGAGCATGAGTGTGAATAAACTGTGAAAACGTTCAAACTGAGATCACAAGTCAACTTTGTGTTAGCCCACTAGGAACTGTTTGCTTTGGACGCAAGTTCGATTAGAGCAGGATCGTGTTGCATGTTAACTCGAATTCTTTTCAATCCGTATGCACATACGCGCGTGACGTAACCTAGATGAGTAGTAAGGAGGAAGTTTGAAGTAAACAAGAGTAATAGCTTTCAGAAGATGTTCTAAAGAAAGCAATTTTTCTGGATTTTCCAAGAATGTTCACCAAACATCAAAGATCGGTTTTTGAGTGCATATACAAGGCATACGGTAT